CTGCCCCCAATTTTTAAATTGTATTTCCAGTTTCTTTATGGTTTCTTTTGATACACAAAAGTTATTAATTTTAACATTAACTTTATCAACTTACTTTTCATAATGCTGTTCTTCTATGAAATCCTTCCATGACCTAACATCTAAATGATACATACAGGCTGGGCACGGTGGTTCATGCCTGCCTGTAAATCCTAGCAGTCTGGGAGGCTGAAGCAGGTGGATTGCTTCAGTTCATGAGTTCAAGACTAGCCTGGGCAACCCCCGTCTCTAAAAGTAGCTATGTGTTGTGGTGGGTACCTGTAGTTCCAGCTCCTCAGAAGGCTGAGGCAAGAGGACCACTTAAGCCCAAGAGAATGAGTTTGCTGTGAGCTATGATGTCATAGCACTCTACCCAGGACAACAGAGACTATCTCAATAAATAAATAAATAAATACATACATAAATGAAAACAAATAATAAATTAATAAATAAAACACATACATTTTGTGCCAGGAGTTTGACAATTTAAACTACCTAGAGCTTTTTATTTACTTTTTTTTTTTTGGGGGAGGGGGGACAGTCTTACTATGTCACCCTGGGTAGAGTGCCATACCATCACAGCTCATAGCAACCTCCAACTCTTGGGCTTAAGCAATGCTCTTGCCTCAGCCTCTCAAGTAGTTGGGACTACAGGCACCCACCACAATGCCCGGCTATTTTTTGGTTGTAGTTGTCATTATTGTTTGGCAGGCCCGGGCTCAATTAGAATCCACCAGCCCTGGTGTTATGTGGCTGGTGCCCTAGCCACTGAGCTATAAGCATTGAGCCATAGAGCTTTATAAATAGGTTTTATCAAACCCCACACTATACCCCAGAAGTGCATTAATGTATATAGTTACCATTCAATAAAAAAAAAAAAACAGCAAAAAATAAATAAATAGGTTTTATCATTACAAATGAAAATGAAGTAGGGATCTAATATGTTCTTTGTCCATATAGATACCTTACTTACCATCTATGTTTCCAGTACCTCTTTTCCCCACTGATAGTATATAATACCTCTATCAAAAACCAAAGATTCAAATACATATGAGTGGATCTGTTTGAGCTTTCTACTTCATTCTACTGGCCAAACTGTCCATGTGCCAATAGCACACTTTCTTAATTACCAGAGCTTGACAGTAAGTCCTGCTTATCACTCTTCCTTTTCTACTCTTGTCAGAAAGGTCTTAGTAGCCAGGCATGGTGGCTCATGCCTATAATCCTAGCACTCTGGGAGGCCGAGGCAGGTGGATCACCTGAGTTCATGAGTTCAAGACCAGCCTGAGCCAGAGTAATAAAAAAAATTTTTGGGTATAGTGGTGGGTGCCTGTAGTCCCAGCTACTCAGGAGGCTGAAGCAACAGACTAACTTGAGCCCAAGAGTTTAAGGTTGCTGTGAGCTATGACCATGGCACTCTACCCAAGGGCAACAAAGTAAGACTCCGTTCCCCTCCATCCCCCCAAAAGAAAGATCTTGGTAATCATGTCTGGCTCCTTCCTCTTTCACATCAATTTTTTAGAACCATCTTAATATGTAATGCTAATTCTACCTTGTTGGAATATCAAAAATGCTCTGAATCTAGAGATCAGTTTGGAGGAAACACACATCTGTTATTAAGCTTTCCTATAAAGTATCTATCTTCATTTATTTAGATCCTCTTTCATATGTTGATGACATTTTATAATTTTCCCATATAGGTTGTATAGAGGCAGTGCTCGGGTTACAAACAACATAGGGTTTATAGGTTTGTTCTTAAGGCAAATCTGTATGTAAGCTGGAATAGTACATTAACCTCTTACTTGTAATAGCCTCTGTTCATAAGTGCAAGTCATACATCAGTCGGATGTTTGTAACTTGGAGACTTACTATAATAGCCTCTGTTTGTAAGTATGAACTGTACATAAGAAAGATATTTATAACTCAGGGACTGCCAGTATATCTGATAGATTAATAGCTTTGTGTTTATATCTTCTCCGTCTACTATAAATAGAAATGTCTCTTTAATAGTGGTGGCAGGTATACAGAAACACAATTGATTTTTTTTTTTGAGACAGAATCTCAAAGCTGTTGCCCTGGTTAGAGTGCTATGGTGTCATCATAGCTCACAGCAATCTCCAACTCTTGGGCTCAAGCAATCCTCTTTCCTCAGTTTTTGTATTTTTAGTAGCGACATGGTCTCACTCTTGCTCAGGTTGGTCTTGAACTCATTAGCTGAAGCAATCCACTTGCCTTGGCCTCCCACCAGAGTGCTAGGATTACAGGTTGTGAGCCACCATGCCCAGTGTACACAACTGATTTTTATGTATCTAGTCACTTTAAGCTCCTACTTGTCAAAACTTGTAAATTCAAGTTTTTCTATGTAAATAAATGATCTTAACTTTGCAAATAATGGCATTTCCTTGTTTCAAATTCTCATGCCTCTAATTTCATTTTCTACTTTTTTTTTCCCTTTGAGACAGAGTCTCACTCAGTCACCCCAGGTAGAGTGCC